CATGGAAAATAATGAGAGTTCGAAAAAAAGCCAAGGTCCTCCACGGATTTATTCGTTGCAAAAGGCGGAAGTACCCTGAATTAGTCGGAGTGGTAGCATACGGAAAAAGCAACCTTTACTCCGCAACTAAAGTCGCTGGAGCGTTGAGATTACCCGGCCATCAGACGCTGGTATGTTTGGCAGATCCTTGTGATCACATGGATTAAGCGCTGATGATTCCCTCCTCTAAGGTTGCTTAGAAAGGGGATAAAGAACTTTTTATGTGACAACACCAATTTTCGAAACGGATCAACAAATTAATCGTTGAAAATTAATCTTTTCCTTGGCGCGCCGAAACCTCGGCTTCAGCACGACAGCAGCGTATGCTTGCTAGCAATTTTCTGATAAAAAGAAAAAATCAGTAAAAAAAGAGGTATTTTTCAGCAAGCAAACTGCTTACTGGACACTTAAATCCCCGAAAAAGCGATTATAAAGGGCCAGAAACATAGAAGTCATGTAGGATGAACAAGGTAAACTATTGAATGGTACCCAAACAATGAAAAGCGAACGACGGCAAAAAAAAAAAGAATGAAAAAGGCCAGAATACCACACTTGTCATCGGGAAATTGGCCAATGTATACTGTCGCAATTTCACCAGGTTTCAGGGTTTTCGTACCAAATTTCTTTCCATCACCTTTCACAGCGCCTAAAACAACTGCAAGTTTATGTGGGAAAAAAAGCAATTCACCAAAAAATGATAAGATACATAAAATATAACTCAAAAAAATGATATAACCCGAAAAATGATAAAATAATACATAAAAAACCCAAAAAATATAACCCAAAAAATCATAAGATACATAAAAAAGCGCTAAAACCGGATGAATTCGACAAAATTTACGAAAAAAAAGCTGTTGCAAAAAGCTTTTTAAAATAAAAATAGTCTATTCAACTACAACATAACGACAACTGAGGTCTTGCGAAATGCTTTTTCTGAGAGAATAGCTGGGCTGATATCTCTTTCAAAAAACGAAATGAACGTCAACAGAGTCAAAATGCTAGCCGCAAAACGATGTAGTGTTGGTCAGAGAAACTTGAAAGGCTGCAGTTGCATAACTAGAGAACAAGACTTTACAAGAACAAGATCTAAATGGCACTTCCAGTTTTTCAGTAATTGCCAAAATTCGATTGTGTTCCTCTCAACGGTGGGCCTACAGCGCTAAAAAAACTGCATATTTTAACATATAAAAGATTTCAGAGCCCCCGTTCTCTTCCAGTCTCCTAGCCAGGGATATTATTCATTGCTTGTATCTTTGAAATTTTTGAAACACATTCATGAATTAACACACTTATGAACTTAAGTATGACGAGATCTACCACATAACTAATACCACGGAAGCACCGGAAAGTGTAGCATTGCTGTTGGCAAGGTGCAGCGGCAAGAGAAAAGAGGAATGGAACAGTCGACTATGTTTATTTGATCTTCTGCGAAGAAGCCAAATTATACAGCCTCATTTAAGCTAGCAGGTATTTGCACTGGGTGACGTCTGCGTTTCATCCCTGAACTGTAAACATAGACTAATAAAATGGTGCGAAATGGAGTGGGAATCATCAGCACAGTGCTCCGTTAAAACCTATGTCTAGACTTACTTTCCTTTGAAATTTAAAGGTGATCAAATACTCTCAGTGGAAGGGTCTCGAATACAGAAAAAACGAATGAGATGGGCAAAACCACGGTTTCTATAAAGCGATGCGCCGAAAAGCTTACTTTCATAATTCTGGAAGCAGTCCAAACTTATTGGCGTGGCCAGTTTGAGTTTCAATATCAAAATAGTTTCACGATATTTTTCAAGCAGCGTTGCATCCTCATGCCGGATTTGCACACGAGCACGATACTCGCCTTTTTCCAATTTCAACACATACTAAAATAATCAAAAGTTAAGAATGCCCAGTGGCAAAAGTAGCTTTTCTCTCGTACATAGAAAAATCTACTTCAGCTGCACTTCCATGATGTGAATTACTGATCGAGAAATCGAATTCGCCAGTCAGACAACCAATCCTTTGTGATTTGTTCATTTGCAAACCAGTATTTGCACATAGCAAAGATTCAAACCTTATGCAATTGCACCACTATAATATAACACCTTTGGTCCCTGGTTCAATCTTTGGACACCCTATCCCCGTTAGAGTTTTGCAGTCTTTGTGATCTGTGACCACCGGGGTATAAAAACACTCCTCCCATCAATTTCATCATGCAACCCTATTCTGGGGAGCTCTGTATTATTTTCCTTATTATGCGTTTTGTGCTGTGTAGCAGCCGTATAAAACGCATATTGTCACGGGGTTGTCTGTTTGTGTGTGTGTGTGTCCGCAGCAACTTGTCCACAACTTTCAACTCGGGGACCACAAAAGCTAGGAAAATTTAGGGAAACGTTCCCCAACCACGTGTGACCCCGCAAATTTAAATTCAGCTTCCCCGTACCCGCGGGTAACACGTATGGCCCTGTGAAAGTTTTTTACGGATAAATTAATATCTCGGGAACCACGGAGTCAAGGAGGCCAAAATTTCAGGATAATAACCCCCTACACACGCTCAACTTTGCCTATTCAAATTCAGCGTTCCCACGCTCTTGAGTATCACCTACGGCCTCGTGAAAATTTTGGCGGGTAAATTACTAACTCGTGAATCACGGAAAGATATCCACCTTTCAAGGTTTCGAATTCAGCTTTCATGCTCTGGTACGTGAAATTTTTAACTGTTTTCTAATGTTTCAACTATTTTTGCATAGATTAAAGTACAAAGCAGTGAAAATCATTAATAGACAATCGTTCGATGGGCTGAACTGCACAAAGCGCATGATCACACCGGCTAGTCTGGTGCGCGTTGCTATTTATCTAACTTTAAGTTGTATAACCTTAGTGTCTACATATAGTTATAAATATATACATATCTATAACTGGGTGTTTCTACACATACACACTCCACTACACACACAATTACGGCACGCACACCGCTTCAACCTACAGACTTTTAAGGTCGCAATACGTCAAACCGTATTATTACGAGAACCAATCCAAGATAAGCTGGATTTAAGTGTTTCAACTTCAAACCAATAAAATTAGATCTCCAAAAACCCAGACGAACTTCGCAAAACCGGAACTTCCGGATGGATATTTTTGCGGAAAATGCAGCAGCAGCCATGGCTAGAATCGTTTACTTATAGGATATTGCTGATAAAAATTACCCGATCAGGATAAGCGGCGCTGCTTCCAAAATATTGCTTAGTTGTCGAGAAAACCATGATATGTACATCATCGAATGCGCTCTCATAGAGGTAATCTGTTATTCCGGGCAATTCAAAATTCGCTTCGCTAGCTTTTTGTACTGAAACAAATCACAACTTAGAATATAGAAACTCGTTCCTTGAAAAAAAAAATTTTCCAAGCAAAGGTTATAGTAGTGGTAACGGTGAGAAATGTATATGACTTAATGGACCGAAACACATCTTACCATCATAAGAATCTCACAAATTTTCTAATTGTCACTTCTCACCTTCCTTTTCCTTTTTTTCTCTTTTTTCTACTCTTTCCAATTATAACTTTCTGTTACACTTTTTTTTTGCCACAGAAACCCGTCCATTACATGGGATGGAAAGGGAAATATGTGTAGGCTCGAAAGTAGCCCTTACTTTTGAACTACATATCTCTCCTTATTAATCATCGCCTGTCCGATATACATGC